TCAGTAAGTTCAGTGATGGTTCATTTCTGTTGTAAAACAGTTGTTAATTTAGTTCATTTATATATATAGCCGCTCTGGAGAAACCCGTGATGTCATCGTCCAGCTCAGCTCAGTTCAATAATATTGTTGAAAATGATTAAAACCAGTTCATCTGGATGAAGACCAGTGTTCACAGTCGCACTACCCGACACCAGACGCTCCCTCTCTAAAGAAAACCCCACATGTACGACTCACACACACACACACGATGCTGGAGCGCTGGAGGTGTGTTATAAAACGGAAAGTTCCGGTCCTTGATTCTGATTGGTTGAGCCGCGTTCGAAGCCATTGTAAATGACTCCACAAACACACACCTGTGACCGCATTACATTAGTGTTACTGCGCAAGTGTGTTTGTGACTCTTTCCCTGTGTCTCAGTGTCCACTATCCATCCTAAACAGTGTGTGAGATTAAAATAAGTGTGTCCCAGTGTGTTGAACAGTGTGCCAGACGTCCCCGGATGGTCTACTATTCCCGGTGGATTTTCGAAGTGTGGATCTGTGCTCACTATAACAGCTGATGTTACCCACAATCCACTGCACTTTATAGGAGGAACTACAAAAAGTGTTTAAAAACTACAAAACATGGCGGAAATGTGCGACCAACGGAGGTTTAGATAAAGGTTTGAGGGACTAATCAAAGTTTAACCTGATGCAAAAATATTTATGTATTGTTATCCGTCTTATATTTAATCTGCAATAACAATATGGACTTTCATAAAGATCCATTTGGTCATTAACTTCTAAATGCACCATTATTCATTAACATGAGGAGAGTCTGCGCATGAAAGACCCGCGACTGCAGATCATCGTGCTTCTGCATTTCTCTCCGATACAGTAGAAATGAAATGTGGAGGATTTAATCTTTGACAAGATGATTGACAGGCCAGTTCACCGTGACAGGATGATTGACAGGCCAGTTCACTGTGACAGGATGATTGACAGGCCAGTTCACTGTGACAGGATGATTGACAGGCCAGTTCACTGTGACAGGATGATTGACAGGCCAGTTCACTGTGACAGGATGATTGACAGGCCAGTTCACTGTGACAGGATGATTGACAGGTCAGTTCACTGTGACAGGATGATTGACAGGCCAGTTCACCGTGACAGGATGATTGACAGGCCAGTTCACTGTGACAGGATGATTGACAGGCCAGTTCACTGTGACATGATGATTGACAGGCCAGTTCACTGTGACAGGATGATTGACAGGTCAGTTCACTGTGACAGGATGATTGACAGGCCAGTTCACTGTGACAGGATGATTGACAGGCCAGTTCACTGTGACAGGGTGATTGACAGACCAGTTCACCGTGACAGGATGATTGACAGGCCAGTTCACTGTGACAGGATGATTGACAGGCCAGTTCACTGTGACAGGATGATTGACAGGCCAGTTCACTGTGACAGGATGATTGACACTGTGACAGGATGATTGACAGGCCAGTTCACTGTGACAGGATGATTGACAGGCCAGTTCACTGTGACAGGATGATTGACAGGCCAGTTCACTGTGACAGGATGATTGACAGGCCAGTTCACTGCGACATGATGATTGACAGGCCAGTTCACTGTGACAGGATGCTTGTCTACTCTCCTGCTACACACTCAAGAGTAAGTACATAATAATAATAATAAAAGATTTTATTTAAAAAGGCGCCTTTCTGACACTCAAGGTCACCGTACAGGCATACATGAAAATTAATACAATAAACAAATAATAAAGTTATACCAAAAGTTGATTAAAATCAATTTAAGATCAAGTAAAATTGCAGATGAATGGGTGCTACAACGAATAGGCTTGTTTAAACAGAAAGGTTTTGAGTCCAGTTTTGAAACGAGGGAAAGAATCCATGTTTTTGAGATGAAGTGGAAGGGAATTCCAAAGGCGGGGTGCAGAGCGGCTGAATGCTCTGCTCCCCATTGTGGCGAGACGGGCAGGTGGGACAGACAGATGTAATGTGGAGGAGGATCTAAGAAAACGAGATGGAGTGGAAACATGTAGGAGATCAGACAAATAAGGGGGAGAGAGGTTATGGATGGCTTTGAATGTCAGCAAGAGGACCTTGAACTGGATACGGAACTGAATAGGGAGCCAGTGAAGCTGCTGAAGTACTGGAGTGATGTGATGGATGGAGGGGGTTCGGGTAATGATTCGGGCAGCAGAATTTTGGACTAGTTGAAGTTTACGGAGTGATTTGTGAGGGAGGCCCAAAAGAAGTGTATTGCAGTAGTCTAGGCGGGAGGTGACAAGGCTGTGGACCAGAATGGCAGCAGTGTGGGGGGTGAGGGAGGGGCGAAGACGATTAATGTTACAAAGTGGAAGTAGGCTGACCGGGTGTTGTTATTGATGTGTGGTTGGAATGATAGTGTGCTATCAAGGATGACACCCAGACTCTTAACCTGAAGGGAAGGTGAAATGGAGGAATTTTCAATTTTGATGGAGAAACTGTTAGTTTTGGGTAATGTGGATTTGGTACCAATGAGGAGAACCTCGGTTTTACCACTGTTAAGTTTAAGAAAGTTGAGAGTAAGCCAGGATTTTATTTCTGCAATGCAATCGGTGAAGGTAGTGAGTGGAAGAGTGGATGTGGGTTTTGTGGTGAGGTAAAGCTGGATGTCATCCGCGTAGCAGTGAAAATTAACATTGAATTTACAGAGAATATTTCCAAGGGGAAGAAGGTAGATAATAAAAAGAAGGGGCCCCAGGACAGAGCCCTGGGGCACACCAGTAGTGACGGAAGAGGAAGTGGATTTGAATGACTTAAGCTGAATGAACTGAGTGCGGCCAGTGAGGTAGGATGTGAGCCAGTTTAGTGGAGTGTGGGTAATACCAATGGATGACAATCTTTTGAGGAGAGTGATATGACAGATGGTGTCAAAGGCCGCACTCAGGTCAAGGAGAATGAGGATAGTGAGTAGTCCAGGGTCAGCTGCCATGAGAAGGTCATTGGTGATTTTTATTAGTGCTGTTTCTGTGCTGTGGAGTGGGCGGAAACCAGACTGGAACTGTTCATAGAAATTGTTGTGAGAAAGGTGTGAATGTATTTGAGTGGCAACTACTTTTTCAAGAATTTTGGAAATATAGAGTAAGTTGGATATAGGACGGAAGTTGTTGAGAATGGAAGGGTCAGCACCAGGCCTTTTCAGGATAGGGGTAATGACAGCAGTTTTTAAGGATGTGGGGACAGTTCCAGTGGTGAGAGAGGAGTGAATGATGGCCGAGATGATAGGGAGCAGAGAAGGGAGGCAGGATTTGACAAGATATGTACTGTAGGTAGGGGGTCTAGGTGACATGTGGACGATTTGGATTTCTGGATGAGTTCGGTGAGTTCTAAGAGAGAGGGCAGGTGAAAAGAAGAGAGTGTGTGTATGGGTGGATGGGGGTCAGAAAAGGTGTGGAGATGGTGTGGAGTGTAGTCAAGGTGTAGATGGATATTGTAGATTTTAGCATTAAAGAATGACATGAGGGAATTACAGAAGTACGTAGTATACAAATGGGGAGGCAAAGAATCCTGTGGTTGGGTGTATTTGTTTAGAATACTGAAAAGTTTCCATGATTAGCAGTGATTAAACTCGAGTAGTACATACTTTGAGGGCGTAGTATAAGGAGACGAGTTGTTTGTTGCTGCATGTGTTGCTCGGCAACCTCTCTGGAACTACATTGCTTGGCGGAGGAATAAATGTGTTATAACGTTATATTTTTTTGCTGCTGGTGTTTATTTTATGAATAAAATAAATATTAAAATGAATATTTTTAATGGAGTAACCATTTTATAAAAGCAATAAGCCACTTGAAGCCGTGATTTACAGGGACTTTAGAACAGCTGAGGGGTTTTATAATCAATAGGCTATCATAATCATGTATTTATTTGATCTCTTTATACCGGACTGTCTGATATCCATATTTAGCTCCGCTTGTATCATAAAATAAAGCAACTCTGGTTTCACGAGAGCGTCTCTGTTTCTCTGACTGAGAATATCTCTGTATCGGGACTGTCACCGGAGAGAGTGTCGTATTTCTAATGGCATATTTGTAGAAATGATGGTTCTTTCTAAACGTGGTGTAAACATACTGTCCTGTGACATCAAATAAACAGAGACAGACGCCACTGAATAAGTGTGTGTCCTCTTTCTTTTGTACGGTAAACCACTTTATTTCTGTGTGACTAATGTGCAATCCGGACACAAATTAATTCATCACGATCAATGTATCACTTTCTATTGTAAACCTGTGATAAAATGTCAATGCTTGGGTTTTAGATCTTTAAGTAAACAACAGGAATGCCACCAAACGGCCACTTTTATCATGTTTGTTTTGTGATCTTGCCGTTTCCAGAGATTTCCTTCTGATTAGTGTTCTGATAAACTTCCCTGTGTTGGTGAAATGATGGATGTGTGTGACGCTGGTCCAGCGAGCCATATTTTAGTGAAGCGCTGGAAACCCTAACGCTCAAAATAACGTGTGTTTTTGAGAAGGGTACACTTAAATTCACCAAACTGACACATTTGAAGGAATCTGAATTGTTTCATTGTTTTGAGTTTCATGAGCTTGTGTGTTTTAATTTACACAAACTTATATGTAAGTGAAACTGGGCTTTCTATTTCCCAGCATGCTTTGCCATGGCATTTAAAAAGTGACAGTATATGCTACAATTATGTGATATATATAAAAAAAAAAATTGTGCAAGATTAATGTTAAGTGTGCGATTGTTTAATGTTTTGTAACGCGAGTTTGTGTTGTTTTGTGTTGGGTTTACCATCATTACCATAATTTACTGGCGCACTCATTCAGCCATTGCTATACTATGCTAATGCTATCAAAGCATTGCGTTTACAGTTAGCAAGTTAACATTTACTGAATTAGCTAGCAAGTTTCTACTACTAAAAATATTTAAGTTGAGATTACATGATAATTTTAAGTTAAAACAATAAATTAGCTTACTTATACATTTTAATTGCTCTTAACTTGAAAATGTTTGAGTACAAAATAAAAATCTGCCAGGTTTGCTAACTTAAACTTTGGATTTCTTAACTGATTACCTTCATTTTTTTTTGAGTTTTGCCAACTTATCTGTGTTTACAGTGTGTCTGGAGACTGGGTGCTATAGGTCTGATGGCATCTGCTGTCCTCTGCTGGTGAGCAGCACTCATCACAGCTCACACACACACACACACACACACACACACCTCTGCTCTCACTGCTGCTGCTCTCGCTCTTCTCGGTTCGTCTCCTGTCCTGTCCTCTTCTTCCTTCTGCTCCACTGCGGATCATGTTAAATGTTAGACCATCCTCAACCTTTCATGCATGTGTGTGTGTGTGTGTGTGTGTGTGTGTGTGTGTACTCACAGGTGTGGAGGTCGTGTGTCGTGTCACTCCAGGTGTTGTTCTCTGGAAGCCCCAGTTTGTGTCTCAATCTCACAGACTCTGTGACCAAACCGTCCAGCAGCTCCCTCCATAACTGCAGACTGCACACACACACACACACACACACACACACACACACACACACACCATCATCTATTACACAGCTCTCTGGAATGCTTGATTCTGATTGGTCAGTTGTGATATTCCAAGGTCAGTTATTCGATTGTTTAGATCACTGTAATGGATTATAAAATAATCACCAAGTAAAATTATCTGTGTGTGTGTGTCACCTGATGTTGTGTGATGTCACCGCTGGTGTGTGTGTGTGTCACCTGATGATGTGTGATGTCACCGCTGGTGTGTGTGTGTGTCACCTGATGTTGTGTGATGTCACCGCTGGTGTGTGTGTATGTGGACGCCGCAGCTCCAGCATCAGGGAGTTAAACTGATTCAGACTCGTCTCTCTGATCTCACTGTGTGTCTCAGGAACGCACAGCACAGCCTAGAGGACAAACACACACACACACACACTGAGTTCAGTCTTCATTCTCCAAATATGAGGACTTTCTGAGTTTCATCAGTGAGACACAAACGGAGGCATTTAGAGGAATGTTCACGCTGCTCATTTCCATACAGCCAATGGATTTTCAGTGAATCAATGGCTTCAATATTAGTTTGATTCTCACATAAAGCAATAGTTGAGCTTGAACACAACACACAGCTCACACACACTAGGCTGCATGCTCGTCAGATCTGAGTTGTCAAGGTCACTTCGACCGGTCATTGTGTTGAAAAGTGTTGAAGATTGTGTCCCACAGAAGAAGACAGACATGCGAGTTTTGACTGACATGACAGGGAGTAAAGGATGACACTTCATTTCTGGATCAACTACACACTTACACACACACTTACACTGGGTGTGCAGAGCGTTATGTTATTCAATACTAATACACTGTGTATATGATGGGTGAATAAAAAATGGTTACACTTTATTTTAAGGTGTCCCTGTTACAGTGTATTATACATTTACGTAAGTTAAGAGATATTTTTCTTTTTATTAAAGAAAACGTGTATTTGCCAGATAAATGTGCTTGATGTCAAAAAAGTAATGTCACAATGCATATAATAAAAATAGGCTTTAAGTAAAATTCAATTTCCATTTTTTCTTAATTTTGTAGAATTATAACAATTAAAATTGCTATTATTATTATTATTACTATTATTTATTAAAGCAGGGTTTCCCAAACTGAGGTTCATGAGGTGATAAAAGCTAATAATTAAAATCCATAAAAATACAAATGAAATAACAAAATTGAACATAAAAATTAAACACTTTCTAAAAAATAAAAGAGAGAGAAATGATTTATTTGTTTACCTACCTGTCATGTGTCCATTAACTAACATCAGAGAATGAGAATATATATTGTAATTTAAGTAATGCGAATTGGGAGGGAAATGTATTTAAATGTCATGAAAACATTTTTTTTTTAAATGGTCCTAAAAAGACATCATAATTCAGATTCCTCTCTTTTCTTTAGATTTTGTGGTGAAATATAAGACATGTTGTAGAACGAGTGAAACTCCTCAAAGCAAACGAGCAGAATGTGTTGATAAGCACCTGTCTGAGTGTGTGTAACGACAGATCCCACACAGGTGTGTGTGCTGACCCGCTGATCTGCGCCCATAACCCCCGCAGCGCCTCCACAGGCCCACGCTGGTACTGCACCTGTGGAAGAACAACACACACACACACACACACACACACAGAAAGTCACTAAAACCCAACTGTAACCGTCAGCTCTGCTCAGAGGAACAACATGTTTCGGCTAACTGTATAATGTGAGGATGATCTGTGCGTTCCCGGGTTCAATGAGGCTGTTCTCCAGCGGGAACACGAGGGACCCGACACACACACACACACACACACACACACGGAGTCGCACCGGGACCCTCAGTCATGCTCCTGACTACAGCACACAACTCAAGCAATTACACACTTAACACGCTTAATGGAGATGATTATCATCACCGCTATTCCCTCTGTGTGTGTGTGTGTGTGTGTTTGTTTACAAGCTTGTGCGAGTAAAGGCC